ATGAGAGCTGCAGTCTACATTTAGTGAGTCAGGCTAAGCTCCTCTGGCTCCTCTGGCTAGTTCACACCAGATGTGCACATCTGCAGCTGTCTCTATTTCTACTGTAACACAGACTTGTGGATTTGAACTTTAGCCTTAAACCCAAGCTTCAGAAAGTTCTGTCATGCAGCGGCTTCTGCAGGTCAAACAGCGCTTATCACAGAAATAAACAGAAAACATAAACAGGTCTTCATGTGTAGAGTCAGTGGCCTGTTACTGCTTCAACACCACAAACAGTCCTTCTACAGATAGAACTTCCAGTATTTACAGCCAAGACACTGTTGGAAACATGAGCAGTTTTCGCTCCTACGTCCAAAATAATGACATTTTCACACCTGAAATGCTGCTAAACGTGACAAGACAGTCCTTTTAACCGCTAATTATCTCTCTTTAATGCACAAAAACACGCCCTGGCTTAAATACAGGTGCATTTCATTCAACATGAGAGCTGTCTTTACCTTATAACACTTCTTTTAGAGGAACAAGAGAGAACCAGACTTCAGCCTCAGCTCACATTTCGGGACGTTAGCTTAGCTTTAGCTTTAGCTTAGCTTTAGCTTAGTGACCGAACCGCGTCTCTTTTTCTAGTTTCCGCGTCAAATAATTTCACTCCCTCCTTCTGTATGTTCAGTATTTACCTTGTTCGTCTTCTCAACACATAATAAATAGCTGTTTACCTGTATACAGTCAGACAAACTCACGTTAGTAGTCACCCCGGTATCCAACGGAGCAGCAACAACAACATCCGGGTCCCGCCTTTCACAATAAAAGCATCCGCAAACACACTGAAATCCTCCTCACGCACAGAGACTCACCAAGCAGCTCATTTGTAGTAATATTCCTGCTGTTATCGTGCAATGTGTAGCTCTTTAAACGGCAGACATGCACCGTACGTCGTAGAATATGTCTGCTGCATTATTATTAAAATGCAAACTCCTCCTGGTTCCCTCTATTTTATCCTCAATGTAGCATTCATAATCATACCTAAACATCTAAACATGAGTAGAGAAAATATGCCCTAAAATATAAACATAAGTACAAAG